ATTTCCAACGGGAATTCCGTCGGAATATAATTTCATGAAAATAAAAAAAAAAACGCTGCGCCACCACCGGCATGGCGTATCACCACCTCCAACCACCCAAAACGCCCCTGTCAACCCCAACCAAACCCTAACCGAGACCACCACAACACCACCACCACCACCACCACCAGTACCAACCACATCAGACCACCACCGCCGCCGCATCTACCACACATATTAGACCACCAATACCCAACGCCACCCATTTCCACCACTACTCAAACCCTAACCCAGACCTGACCTAATTCTAACCAAATGCTAATCCAAACCTGACCAACCCTAACCAAACCCTATCCCAGACCCAACCTAAAACACCCAAATCCTAACCAAACCCGACCGAACCCTAACCACAACCGCCACCCACCTAACCCTAAAACTAACCCACCCTCCTAACCTTCAAACCGATCTAGACCATTGCCCACACCTAACCCAATTTTTTATAAAAAAAAAACTTAAAAACAAAAGAAAGAGCAGTAAAACAAAACACCAAAACATACCTTAAATTATAAAATTGGCTTCGGGCTTCACTTAATTAAGGTTAATAAGGTTAAATCTGACCATAAAAACTCTAGATCTAGAGTTTATGATGGTCGAATTTGACCCTAAAAACCTTAAAAAAATTTATACTCCATAATGCTTGTAAAACAAAAAGTAAAAAAATAAAAAATAAATAAAAAAAACTCCGTATTGAATTTCAGTATTTTGTGTATGAAGGAGAAGAGAGGAAAGAAGAGAACATAAGGAGAAGAAGAGAAAGAGGAGGGAGATGGAGAAGAAGGCCGACAAAAGAGGGAGGAGGAAGGAGGAAGGTTGATGAGGAATCAGAGGGCGGAGATTCAGAAGAAGAGAGGACATAAAAGGTAAGAGGAGAAAGAATGAAAAGGGGAAGAAATAGGAGGAGAACCGGCTCCTGCTGAAATATAAGGAGGGTGGGGTGGATGTTTAGGGTTTAGGTGTTTTTTTTTTTAAAAAAAAAATTATTCTGATAGAATAATTTGTCGAAAATCTCCGACGGATTTTAAATCCGTTGGAAATTCTAATTTCCGACAGAATATTCCGCCGGAAAGGCAATGCATTACGACGGATTTATATTCCGTCGTAAATTTCCGTCGGAATATCCGATTTTTACGATGGATTTACGAGTCTGTCGGAATCAGTCCGCCGGAAACAGGCCTATTTCTAGTAGTGCTATTTTTTTAGAGAGAGAGATGAGGCAAACTTTATTAATTAAGAGACATATATAGTGTCCGAGATTACATAAGGAGCAATTGACGTGGAATAATGATTAATCTACATTTGCTCGGTGCTAAAAGGAATGATTCTAGCTACATGTTGTGCTACAAAATTTCCCTCCCTCTTTACATGAGCCCAGCAAAACGAAGAGAAAAAGCTACTCAAAGATATGATCTCCTCAAGAACACCATCAAATTAAAATCAGAGAAGAAAATTGTTGCCTTTGACTACTACGCAAAGTTTTGGATACTCAGTGCACCGAGTCCTAGGCCATAATTCAAGGTGTGCGGCCAATTTTGTCTTGAAGTTATAGATATTAGAATTTCCATATAGTTGTTGGTGTTTTGACTACTACGCAAAGTTCAGGGCACTCGGAGCACCTAGGCCATACTTCAGGTTTTAGCGGTCAATTCTGCCTTGAAGTTTAGATATTTGAATTTCCAAGTGTTTAGGTCCTTTAGGATATTGGAATGGAGAGTTCAAAGAAAAAACAAAACAAAATAAATTATATTAATAAATTGAAAACTTGTACTCCCTCCGTTTTTAACAACTTACTCTATTTTTTTGACACATATACTATACCGATGCTAATCTTAGATCAATTCTATCTTTAATTATTTATAAGTATAAATTCTAACAATTGAAATTAATATTTTATTTATTTGCACAATTCCAACAAATAATTACAAGACTTTTTTTAAAAAAAAAATGTATAAATCACAAGCATTAGTCATACTAGAATAAATATAGTGAAAAAAGTAAAAATAGAACAAATATTTTAAAACGAAAGGAGTACCAAATATTCCTTATTTCCTTTCAAGTCAATTTGAGCTCCTAAAAAGTGTATCATTATAAGATAATATATTATTTCTATGGTTAGCTAAAATTATTACAAACTTTTCTAAAGGTTTGGGTTACATATTTTGTTTCGAAAACCCAATTATTGGACAATTTATCAATTAAATTTAGGGCCTATTCACATTTATTGAAATGAGCTGAACTGAACTGAACTCAGCTGAAATGAATATTTTATAAGAGAGTGAAATTAAGAGCTTAACTGAACTAAACTAACTGGAGCTGAACTGATTAGAGCTGCATTGAATTGAACTGAAATTAAGTAAATGTGAACAGACCCACGCTAAGGATAGAGTAAAGTTACTTGAAAACTTCATTATGCTACTAGTTGCTTGTACATATTGCTTAATACTATATGATCAAACGTTGATTAACCAAAAAAAATTGTGCCTCACGCTAAGGATAGAAAAATAATTGATCACTTGTATTTCCCCATTATACGCATGATTTATCGTGCTAAATATCCGTAGCACATATTTAGTCTAAAGTACAAAATTACGGACCAAGTACAAGTTGATGCTTCATCATTGACTTTTAGCCATCAAAGTACTACCAACCAAGTGAGGTCAAACGTATCAATTTCTACAAATTCTTTTGATAAAGTTTATTGAGTGAATTATATTCTCTTGCCTTTGACTTTAAATTTGATTGTCTACTTAAATATCCAATATCAAACTTGTTCAAGGAAATAAACATTGAAATGAGTCGCCCACCATTTATATATTTCTTTTTATCAGCAACAAAAGGCGGTGAGTAGTGTGTAATTAATGACTTTGTACTTATTTGGCTAATATTCTTTAGGAAAATTTGATTCTATTAATCCAACCTTTGCACTGTCTTATTTTATTAATCTGACATTTTGATTATTCCACAATAATCCAAGCTTTAGGGGTGTTCTATTCTATTAAGTCAAGCAGGTCACTTAACCTACAACTATAGCTCACCTGCCATGTGTTGCTGCTTCATTTGTCCAAAAATATTTTTAATTTAAAATTAAAAAAGAAAAAAAAAAACTTTTTTTCCTTTTTTTCATTTGGTCTTCGTCTTCTTCCTCCCTATCCATACCTTAGCTCCATGAATGGCTTCCATTTTCTCCAGACATCCACCCACCATCCCTCCACCTCCGGCAGCAAGGAATCCCACCTAACTAGCCACCACCTCCACCTCCTTTGAAACGCGACATTATGGAATTCCACACCTCCACCTTCGTTACAACTCAATCCTCGAACCCAAAAACCCCCACCCACCATCTCTGTTGAATTTGGCCCTCGAACCAGAGAAACCCGAATCCACCATCGCACGAAACCTCCCTCAACACCTTGCTCGAAACCATCGGAAAACCCCACCCCACCGCTAATTTTTGGGTTTCAAGAGTGTTTGGAGTGGTTATGGTAGCGATTTTGCGGGTGTTGGGAATTTGGGTTGGGTTACGGTGGTGACTAGTTAATTAAGGGGTAGGGTGGTTGTGGCTGGCCTGGGGAGGACGGCAAGGAGGTGGTTAGGGGAGGGCGGCAAGAAGGTGGCTGGGAGTGGGCTGGCCGGAACGATGGTAAAAGAGGTGAAGGAGGAGAGGTTGGCCGGAATCCATGGGAAGGCAGTTCAATTTTTTTTTAAGTTAAAAAAAAATTAAAAATGAAAAAAAAATTACCTGAATAACAAGTTGCAAGTTACCTTTGCCTAATAGAATAGAATACCCCCTAAAGCTTGGATTATTGTGCAATAATCAAAAGGACGGATTAATAAAATAGGACAACGCAAAGGTTGGATTATTGAAATCAAATTTTCCTATTCTTTACAATTTTTTGGTAATGTTATATGTAGCTCTTTGTGTTACAAATAATCCCTCCGTTTTTAAATACTTGCTCCATTTCTCCATGCGCGGAGTTTTAGGAGAAATTGGAGAAAGTAATAAAATATGGAGGTAGTAGGGTTGGTGGAAGAATAAAAAATTGTAAAAAGCAAAAGTAGTGGAGAAATTGGAGGTGAGAGAATATGAAATGAATAAAATATAATATTTGTTGGGTTCACTAGGTGGTAGAAATGAATTAAATATTGTAAAAACTTTTCAAATAAGGAAATGAAGCAAGTATTTAAAAACGGCCGAAAAAGGAAAGTGAAGCAAATATTTAAAACGGAGGGAGTAAATATTAAATGTCTTTTCTTATTTGGTACTCTCTCCGTCCTTTTATTATATGTTTATTTTTCATTTTGCATGGAAATTAAAAAAATTGAAGATTCCTTAAAACTAATAATTGGGAATACAAATATGCATGTGGAGTTAGAGAGATATAGAGAGAAAGAAAAGGTGGTTGGGAATTAGGAGTGAGAAAATATTGGGAATTAATATTAAAGTACAAAAAATAAAAATTGGCAAATCATAAAAAAGAGAATAATACTGTAAAAAAGTACAACTTATAAATAGAAAAAATTACTTAATTTTGATGAACCAAAAAAGGAATGTAGGCATGTAATAAAAGGACGGATGAAGTATTAATTTAGGAATGCATGACAAAACCACCCGCAAAACAGTATATTTAATGAAGAGATTTCACTAATAATTTCATCTTTTTCCTTCTTATAAATAGCCCTTGGAGATATATATAGCATTGACACTTACATTGGCATGCAATGGTGCAAAAAGATAACACGAATAGAGTATTTTATCCCTATCATGACTATCCTGAATTATTTGGAACATTTTGATCAACACAAAATTTGAGCAAACAAATAGGTTTTTCAAAAATAGTTTGTAGTGGAATATTATTATTTTTCATAAATCAGTTTTTAGATTAAAAAAAAAAATTTGCAGAGTAGGATTATTTTATTGTTTTTTTTTTTTTTTTTTTTTTTTTGACGAAAACCGAGCAATTATATTAAGTAGAGGAAGAGTTAATATCAGCCATTACAACTGCTTGTATCTCCGCAGGATACTCTTCAAGCCAAACTCTAAGAGAAGAACAATTAATACTAAGCTTTGCTAGATTATGAGCAACTCGGTTACCACTCCTCTTCACGAAAGCAAATGAGCAGCATTGGCAGGAACTAGCCAGCTTGAGTATGTCTCTGATAATCATTTTAAAAGCTGTTGCATCCACTTTCATCTTACACAAACTATGATCATATGATGGAGCTTCAAGTTGTCCGTCTCAAGGCACACTTTCACAAAACCAGCTTCCATTGCAATCACCAGGGCGTGCCTCAAGGCCATTGCCTCCACCACATCAACATCATATTTGCCTTCCATCCGCAAACATGTGGCTGCCACCACATCCCCCACATTATCTCTCATCAGACCCCCTAATCCTACCTTGTCTGGGTCGAAAATGGCAGCATCGGAGTTGACTTTTATAATCCCAGTTGGAGGAGCTTTCCACTGACATTCGAGCACTTCAGAGGCACTACTGACTTTGGCTTGATCTTTGGCACTTTCATATTCTCCAACAAGGCTCATAGCTTTGTGGATCACCTCAGCGATTTCTTTCTTCTTGCCTGCATACACCCATTCATTTCTTCGAATCCAGATACCCCATAGCAGACTCCAGATTATTTTATTGTATTTGGTGGGTGATGGAATACTATTTTTTTTCATTTTTTTTTTTCCAATTGTAACCGGTTGACTATTACACTATTCATTTACTTGATTTTAATTGACTTTGATGATTTCTAGTTAAGCAAAAACATCAGAGTTATTAATTTGACAAGCTTTTGCTAAACTAGCACAAAATTAAGCAAAGTGAATAATAAAGTTTGGCCTTTGTGAACCTTGACCTTATTACTATGATGTTGGGCCTTAAATAAAGCTTGGATTGACCAAACACAAGATTTGGACAGGAAAGACAAATCCAATACAGAAAAATTTCTTATAGTATTGAGGCCCAACGATGAAGGATGGTTCTTTGTTGACTGTTGAGGCTTGTCCAAAAGTGTGGGTCAGTAGCATGTTTGGTCATAAGAAGGTTGACGGGTACATACAGGTCATGAACTCATGATAAAGATAAACGGGTTGCACTTGCAAGTCAGTAACGGGTTAACCCGTTTATTTGGTTCGAAAAATGAAAATAAAAAAAAAGGTGAGGGATAAAAATAAGAATGAATGAATTCGATCATTGACGACCAAAATAAACGAGTAAGAAAAATGGAAAAAAACAAGGTAGGAAATAAAAAATAAGAATAAATGAATTGCAAAATGTAGATATAATTATCTATTTATTTAATTTATTTTAATATTTATCAAGTAACCAAATACCTAACCCGTTCTGATTTTAAAAAATTGAGAACTAAACTTGACTTGATTAATAAATCAAAATTTGATTTAATGTAACATCATATCATACTACTCAATTAATTTAAACCAATAAAATAAATGGAAAGAATAAATAAAAAAATTACGTATTACATACTGAAATCATTTCACATATACACATTTTAGACAAAGGTAATTTCAAGAATTTTCCATTAAAAACATTAACATGTTAAGGAAAAACACAAATAAAAATGCAATCATGAGACAAAACATAACCAAGTACGTATTGAATAACAATTAATACTCGTAACAAGTAACCTAAGCAAACTCCCATCACCAACACCAACACCAAGAGAAAAAGTTCAATTCAGAAGTCCAAATAAACTTTATCTTAAAACCATATGACCATAACAGCATTATGGTCTAAGCTTTATAAAGTGTTTTAACACTCAACTTTTATCAATACTTTATCCGTTTTAAATACTTATTCCACTTTTTATTTCCAGCGGTTTTTAAATACTTGCTCCATTTTCTTATTTGGAAAGCTTATATAATAGTATTTAATTAATTTCTCTCACCTAATGGACCCACCAAAAATCATACTCATTCCGTTTTTAAATACTTGCTCCACTTTTCTTTTTCGGCCTATAGTTTTAAACTAGGTTAAATCCCGTGCAGATTGTTAAATATTTTTACAATTTTATTATAAATTTTTTAATATAATGACTTGAGTATTAAAAAATATACAGAGTATATTAAAAATAAAAGCATGCAAGAGAAAATATTTAAAAAACATGTAATAGTTATAAACTTATAATGGATAGTTTAATCTTTTAGGAAAAAATATATATTTTATATAAAACAAATTATGTCATAATTTAGATATAATTTTTTTCCTTAAGTAACAATAATTTTTTTAGAAGATACTTTTGGCGGGAAATTTTTTAATAATACATTGACAAGGGTGTCTTAAAATCCGTTTTTAGTAGTATGTAATTGATTACTTAATTTCTCTCACCTAATGGACCCACCAAAAATCATATTCATTCCGTTTTTAAATACTTGCTCCACTTTTCTTTTTCGGCCTATAGTTTTAAATTAGGTTAAATCCCGTGCAATGCACGATTGTTAAATATTTTTACAATTTTATTATAAATTTTTTAATATAATGACTTGAGTATTAAAAAATATATAGAGTATATTAAAAATAACAGCATGCAAGAGAAAATATTTAAAAATATGTAATAGTTATAAACTTATAATGGACAGTTTAATCTTTTAGGAAAAGATTTATATTTTGTATAAAACAAATTATGTCATAATTTAGATATAATTTTTTTCCTTAGGTAATAATAATTTTTTTAGAAGGTACTTTTGGCGGGAAATTTTTTAATAATACATTGGCAAGTGTGTCTTAAAATTCGCTTTTAGTAGTATGTAATTGATTGATACTTGTTCCATTTCCTTATTTGAAAAGATTTTACAATATTTAATTTATTTTTCTCACATAGTAGACCCAACATAAATCATACTTTATTAATTTCATATTCCATCTCCTCTAATTTTCTCTACTACTCTTGCTTTTTACAATTTTTTATTCTTCCACCTAGCTACCCCACTACCTCCATATTTTATTAGTTTTTTCAATTTCTCCTAAAACTCCTCACATGGAGAAATTGTAGCAAGTATTTAAAACGGATGAAGTATTTTATTAATTTCATATTCTCTCTCCTTCAATTCAATTCTCTTCACTATTTGTGCTTTTTACAATTTTTAATTTTTCCACCTACCCCATTACCTCTATATTTTGTTAATATTACCAATTTATCCTAAAACTCTGCGCATGGAGAAATGGAGCAAGTATTTAAAAGTGAGAAGAGAACTTGATTAATTTCATATTCTATCTCTTTCAATTTTCTTCACTACTTTTGCTTTTTACAAATTTTTTATTCTTCCAAATACCCCACTAACTCTATATTTTATTACTTTCACTAATTCATCCTAAAACTCCGCGCATAGTGAAATGGAGCAGGTATTTAAAAATAGAGGGAGTATGAGATACTTAAGGCCGGCCTGTTCTCTTCGGCGTAATTTTAGTTTAGTCTAGTTCAGCTCCAATCAATTCAGTTTAGCTCCTAATTTTCTTTTCCTCATAAACAATTTATTTCAATTCATTTCAGTTTAGGTCCAATCAGTTCAATTCAGCTTCAATCAATTCAGTTTAGTTTAGTTCCTCAGTTCAGTAAATTAGAATAGACCCTTAGTACTCTCTCCGTTATTAAATACTTGATTCGTTATTAGACACGTATATCGATGTTAATATTCGATCAATATCTTTTTAATTATAAATAAGTAGTATGAATTCTAAAAATTGAAAATTAATAGCCTATTTATTGAGAATTTGAGACGATACCAACAAATACTCACAAGATTATATATTTTTTCTTATGTATAAATCACAAATATTTCAGAGTGGGACAAATTAATATAGTGCAAAAAATAGGAACAAATATTTAAAAATAGAGGGATTATGATGTTTAGAAAGAGCTGAAAAGCTATGTCACAACTGTAACTAATCTGAAACACTATAAAATGAACATCTTCACCCCTACAAATAACACGTAATCGAAGTATTATATCCCTTTTCGCATACACAAGACAATCGTCAAACTCAATAATTAACAAAGATGGCGGTGATTCGAATGTACGTATTATCCAAATAATGTGCAATCAATTAGATTTGAATAGTACTACGGTGCATACATTAATGTTTTAGGAACATACATCAACCCCCTCACATAATGAGAGAATAAAATTTCATGTGCATAACACATGAGGATATTGGAGATTTGAATCACATACAACAACATCACATAATAAGGCCAGACTTATACCATGTGACTTTCCACTTGCCTAATCGATGATGAATGAAAATACAATATGAACATAATTCATCCATTTTTCTTAGTAACACCGATTTTTTTAATTTTTTGAGTAATTCGGAAATTAATAGAACATTACTTTATCTATTTGAATTATAATTCCTACTACCTCTTAATACATATAAAATAAACTCTCTCTTTTTTTTTCATCACTCTTATTTCCTTATAAATACCGTGCATCATCAACATCGTAAATAAAGATTTACTTATTTGTTAAAATAAGACCAACTTACAGATGAGGTAGACCAAGTAATAAAAAAGAACAACTAAAATATATTGGTATATATGTAGTGACTCATAAAAGTGGTCATTATAAGACGATTTTATTTAAATTTATATTTAAAAAATAAGCGAAAATATTTTTTTGTTAACAAGCCAAAATGTTCTACACCCATACTTTTTTTTGTAATTAAGAAATCTAAAAAAAGCATCAATTTGTTGGTTTATATTTAGAATTATTTGTTTTCTTTGAAATCCATGTGGGGATGTGATGAAAGAGGAAGAAAATGTTAAAAGTGAGAACGTGGAAATAATTGAATGGGGATCAAACTTTGCAGGGATAATTCCTAATTTATAAATGTATTTTATAAAAAAGCAATTTTATACAATTTTATTTTCTTTGATTTCTTTCTTATCTCAATATTGGTTCCATGTGAGGTTGTTGCAAAGGGGCTACATACTAGAGTGTTACACCTCACATTTAGTCACATATAAAATGGAGCATTACTCCAACATTTATTTCATCAATTACGACAATATCTATCCTCATCTCATCTTCATCTTCATCCTCTTCTTTTCAAGTGAAAAAAAAAAAAAAATGAACAAAGCAACCTCAGTTGTAGCAACAATTTTTCTAGGAGTATGTTTCCTAAATATTAATGTTGATGCCTTTAGGGCTTCTGGATGGCAAAAGGCTCATGCCACTTTCTACGGCGGCAGTGATGCATCCGGGACTATGGGTACGTGTTTTTGTATTGTTTTTGAAGTGTAAATTACTATACATATATATGTTTGATTCATCGAATCGAAGAGACATAGGACTGAATCTTTTTGTTGTTATGCAGGAGGGGCTTGTGGGTACGGTAACTTATACACTAGTGGATATGGGACTAGAACCGCGGCTCTAAGTACTGCTTTGTTCAACAACGGGGCATCATGTGGACAATGCTACAAGATCATGTGTGACTACAAGACGGATCCCCAGTGGTGCAGGAAGGGAGTTTCGGTCACTATTACCGCGACTAATTTCTGCCCTCCCAACCCTGCTCAGCCTAACGATGATGGAGGTTGGTGTAACCCTCCTCTGCAACACTTTGACATGGCCCAACCTGCTTGGGAGAAGATTGGCATTTACAGGGGTGGAATCATTCCTGTCATGTTTCAAAGGTAAGAACATACATTTAA